TTCTAGACCCATTTCATTGTCACTTCCTGCAACTTCATTGATGTGACATCACTTCCTGATGTGAAATCGCTTCCTGTAAGGTCTTTGAATATGGCTTACCAGCCCACTGAGTGATAAAAAGTTCATGATCTGCCCCCACATTCAAAAAGGTTGGACACCCCTAGTCTACACCAAAGCACTCTAATCAGAACATGATGAACACATGTAAAAATGCCCTTGAATCCTGGTAATTTAACTTCTGACATTGTTGGAACCCCTGTGTAAGAGTAAGTGTGTAGCCTAAACTGAAAATAATCTAAAAAAAAAATTATAATTTTAATTTTTAACCTACAAGACTTAACCACCTAACTAAAGTAGTAAAGCTACCAACTACACAAATACAGTGTACAAAGAAAGTGGACACTTTGAAGGTTTTATTTTGCTGCCCTTTCTTTAGTAAGATAGAAATGGGTATTTATAATGATGCTGACATGTCCCCAGTGAACACTGTTAGCCAAAAGGATCTAGCCTTACAAGCATGCACCTAGAGAGGATTCCACATGAACAATGCTTTTCAAAAGAACTAAAATTATTTTTGATGGATAGCCTAGATTGAGAAAAGACTTAAAATGGTAAGAAGTCATATTGACTACAGTGACACTATTCCCAGGTGCAGATAAAGCCACACAAGGCTCGATCCAGATTGGTAAACTAGGTACCAAAATGGGATTGAAATAGAATTTAAGTACCAACTCACAAAAAGTGCCCAGAATATCCCCATTCCAGCACAGAAAACCCCTAACTTCATTCAATATCTACATTTTAGACTGTGACAATGCCTAATTTGAGCAGCTAGACAGCTCTCAAGAGAGCCCAATCCTGTAGGAGTGCTCAGAGAATTGAACAGAATTTAGCTTTGTACAGCAATGTCACTTTCACTTCAAAAATGGGTAAAGGAAAAGCTCCTACCCACTTATGTTTTTGGATTGTATACATCAGGGACAGATTAGAATTTGTAAAATGAGGGGCAAAGATCATTTTTCCCCCCAAGAGGATCCCTTATGGATAACTGAGCAGAGGGTCTATTTCTTAGTGTAAACCAATGATCCAATCCTTTTTCTTCAACTTTTCCTCAGATAAAGATCCAATTATACACATTTTTTTTACTAACCTGTAATAATGCTCTTTCTGGTAAATTTGACTTTTCATAGCTGACTATTCTTGAGGTTGATGTTTTGTCTTTGATTAGTTCTGAAGAGAAACAATGATGTAAATCAAAAGATTCTTCCTGGTCTTCCTTTTCCAATTGCTGCAAAAAATTTAAAAAAAATTAAAAAAGGAAAAAAGACAGACATATCTATTACATTGGAGAATTATCCTCATCCAATTTGTAATTTCAACCTGCCGTATAAATTTATTAAATTCTGAGATACTAATTTCAAGTATTTTTAGTAGTATTGTTATATTAATTTAATTTGAAACAGACTTTTTCAAATTTATCATTATCACCACCAATGCATCTAAGAAACCTGCACATATGTTGAATATGTAATGTAAAGCCATCTGATACAGTGTCACTTGACTGAATTATCAGAGTGCTTGAAACGACTGAAGTACATCCAGTGTGGGTAGAATGGATACTTTACTTACGCATTCTACTGGGAATACAATGGTAAAAAATATAAGACACAGTAAGAATACGGTGTGAGATTTTCCAAGGTCACCTACTTTCTTTATTATGTCCCTGTTAACAATGCTGAGGCATAAAAGGAAAGTCTATGTAATGATTACAGAGATCACTACTATATTTACTTGCAGACTGTCACAGCGCGGGGTCCTCCAGGAGGGCCGTGATCTCCCCAAGGCCCCCTTCCCGTGCCAAGTTGGCCCAAGGGGCACCCTTGATTCTTGCCCACCACATCTTTGATAGTAAAGGTAATAGGGAGGCTGCCTTTACGTCATCTTGGACATGGTTCTGCTGTACTCACTGACCCCGTGGATTCCTGAACCCCTTGTGGGTCCCATTCTGCAATGGGTATTCCGGGGCACTCTTGCCTTATGGGCTATGTGTGGCTCCAACCACCCCTTTACCACGCCCCAAGCCTCACAGATAGAATCAACGTTGTTCAATCTGGGCCTTGCTATAATTTAGCCCCCTTGCCTTCCCTGGGCCCTCAGCGACCCTTGTCTTGCTCTGCGCCCTCTCTGGCACTCGGGTTCTCTGTGGCCCTTGTCTCGCTCCACGCCCTCTCTGGGGCTTCTCGCTGCCCCCTCTCTGGGGCTCGGGGTCAGCGCACCCCAATGCTGCATCCTCCCTGGCACTTGGGTTGGCACACCCCCAATGCAGCACCTTCTCTGGCGTTCAAGGTCGACGCACCCTCAATACTGCGCCCACTCTGGTGCCCAGGTCCCCACGCTGCCATGGACCCCTTATGAGGCCTCCTCCATCCCCGAATAGCCTCTCCCAAACCACCAATCTTAAACAGCAAACAAAACACATGCCCCTGGGCTATAACATAAACTCAAGCCACCTGGCTATAACAGCATCATTCAAGCCACCCCAGGGGTGTTCCATCGCTCACCAGTGTCAGAGGCAATACCTGCAGTCAGGCTTGCTCTGGGAAAGCTACTTCCCCCTTGGCTGCTGCCAGGGAACTGCCCTTATAGTCTCAGCCCTGGGGTTTATATGTGGACCAGGCCCTGCCCCTTCCGGTTAGCTGACTTCTGGCAGATGTGGGCCACTAGCTCCCTCTGGTTGCCCTGGTAACCAGCAGCTGGGGCTCCCCACTCACTGCTAGGGCTCTCTCCCTAGCAGTTTCCACTCTAAGGAGCAGGGCACCTAAGTTCTCTGCAACACAGACTACATGTACATTTTCCCCAAAAGTAGCAATCCAAAACACAGATGCATGTTTTAAACCAGAAAGCTGATTTCTGCCTTCCCTTCCCTGCCACATGGAAGAGGGGCAGCCATTCACTCAAGTCAGGTCACTCACTATCTCCTTGCAAACACCACAGCTCAAGTTTTAATCCACTCAGCAATGCTGAACTGGAAGCAGTTTTTGGCTGAATAGTCAATTCAGTAGCAGCTATGACAGGGTTAAAGCTTGAGCTGCACAGCTGGCAAGAAGAAAGTGAATGATGCATGCACCTAAGAGCATTCAGGCATGGTGAGCCCAAGAAAAAATGGGAAGATCATTCAGGATAAACATGAGGGAGTATCTTAAGAAGGAACTGTCCTATTGTTATAGGGAATAAAAATTCATTATGAAATTAAAAAATATCAACAGTGTTGAATGTAATAAGTATTTTGGAGTTCTTTAAAAGGAAAAGGTTTCTGATGGAAAAAGGAAGGAATATAAAAGAAAAGAGTGAGCTATTCAACTTATCAGTACAGTAGTCAGCTGCAGTAGTAAATTGGACAATGACTGATCTAAGCAAGTTGGTTAGGAAAACTTGAAGAAAAGAAGCATTGCGTAGTGTAATGAAAAGTAATTCGTATATAGAAAGTTATATATTGACAAGAAGAATGGAAGAAAAGGGCAGAGGGCCTTGAAAGATACATGGAACATGAGCATGTAAGGTAGCAAAAGAGAGACAGAAAACAACATTCTAAATGTACATGAAGAATAAGTTTACTATAAGTCACTGGGCAGAAAATGAGAGCTATATAAACAGAAGTAGAGAAAAAAAGAACTGCAAGGAGTTTTGTTGCTTTGTTTAAAGAAATACTCATTAAAAGAATATAGAAAATTCAATCTTCCTTTGGCTCCTTCGAAAGAAGGATTGAAAATGGAAACTATTCCTTTAATTTGGGCCACAGAAGGACAAGCTTTTAAGCACAAGCTATGTTAAAACAATGATGGATCAGAGAACAGATAAATCTAGAGATTATGGCTAGGGAAGTTCAGTGCACCTCAACCGCTTTCAAAATGGCTAAAACTGGTTTAATATAAACCTGGCTGGATGTAGTATCAGACTTAACTGATTAAGGTCAAACTGGTCTATGGAATTTCTGTCCCAGATCCCTTCCTGGTTCAAGTTAATTCACAGACCCCCAGCATCCCAGGATGCTTTGCAGCCCTGGGCTGTTCCGTCTGCTCCAGCACAGCAGGGTCTGACCCATCCCTCTGCTCCCTAGCTGGAGCCCTATCACTCTTCTGGCTGGTTGGGGTGAGGTGTAAACCCACTCTTCTGGCCTGGCAATTGACCCCCAGCCAAGTGCAGCCCAGTGTGGCAGGGAGGGGGGAAGGGGGCTTGACTCAACCCCAGGGAGCCAGGAGCCAAGCTGGAGTTCTTCAGCTATGTCCCTTCCTCAGGCTCCAGGCTGGCTGGCGGGGGGAAGCCCACAGTGGGGGCTAGAAGCCAGGAGCCAGGCTGGAGTCCTCCTAGCCATGTGGGCCAGCTGGGGGTGGGGGGGCAGGCATGGCTGGGGGACTCTAGCCCCGGTCCTGGCTCCCAGCTCTGGTGGGGGCAGGGGGGGAGGGAGGTGGAGACAAGACTCTGTTCAGGCTTCCCTCCCCTCAACCAGCCCAGAGGCTGAGGGGGCATGACTGGGGGACTCCAACTCTGCTCCTGGCTCTGGGGGGCTTCTGGCTCCACAGGGCAGCACCAAGTCTGTGTAGACTTCTATCCCCCTCTCAGCTGGCCTGAAGGCTGAGGAGGGGACAAGGCTGGGAGAATCACCAAGCGACTGCAGTGGCCGGCAGGCTGGGAGGTGTGCTCTATTGCCCCCCAGCTACTGGTATGGGCCACTGCAGGGGTCTGGCTGCCTTTCTTGTTTGAAATGTGAACGTCAGTTCACTTGCTTATCAGTTCAATCTACACAGTTTAGAAAAACCAGCAAAAATTGAATTGATTCAGACTGTTTGACTGTCTGCACTTAGCCTATAAATGCATGTACCAAGTTGGGCAGAAATAGTAAAGTATGGCAAAACAATGGTAGTAGTACTGCACACTTGGCTCCTTGCAAGAAGTGCGCAGTACAAATACAAGAAAAGCAGTGACATTACAGACCAAACAAAAGTATAGAGAATGCATATAAAAATACGATGGGATTTTTTCAGTTGCTACTGGTGATGGAGCGTATGCTAACAGATCAGGATGTGACTGTCATAAATAAAAAGAAGAGCAAGTTATTCATTATGAACTTCTTGTGTCCATTAGACTAGAATGTGCAACTGAAAGTGCAAAAGACTGACTGACAATTGTGATCTGTTACAACAAAAAATGAAAAAAAATCAAGTCATGAAAAACATAAGCATAATACCATTTGCCCCATTAGCTGGGAGCCCCATCAGCTGATCAGAGCTCTCAGTCATGGGGGACACATGCTGCACCCCTACAGTTGGGAGCCCTGTCAGTGTTTCGATCTTGGACTCCCAGCCACGGAAGCAAAGATTGCCAGTGCAGGGGGAGCTCTCAGCTTGGAGGCACAATTGTTGGGATTGTGCATTAGATCCCACTGCACCCTCTTTTAATGTCTATCAGGGGCATATAATTCAAGGCAACTGCTCTCTCCAGTACAGAAAGAGGCTTCATGGATTCTCCATACTCTTAAAAAGTGCTCTCAGAAAAAGGCTTACGGCTAAGGCACCTAGGAAATCATCTAACGTAGTGGTTTTCAACCTTCTGTAGGGAAAGATAACTAGGGGGGAGATGGGGACTCTTTCCCCCAGTCATCTAGAGGAAAGATTACTATGATCAAAAGTATGTGAATATCCACACTTATGATTCAAAGGGGACCACACCTCCATCTGAAGTTTCCAAAGGGGTTTGCACCTCCATTTGAATTTTTTATGGGTCCGCAAATGAAAAAAAGGTTAAAAAATACTGATCTAATGTAGCAATTCCCCCTATGAATTCCCCACTAATAAGGCTTCAGCGGACAATTAAAGATGTCCTCATTTGACTCCTGCTGTGTCAACATTACACTGTTTATTCATGTTTAAATAAGATGGTCAAGAGTCATGTTAGCTGACAGGATGGTGACCACAAGTTAGCTATGCAGAGTGGGACAAGCCAATGTCAGCATTGTGTTATGATTTAATTTTTGTTAGCTGACACAGCACTCGAACATGATTTTTGCAGACTACAATGACTGTTAAGTCCTGGGCAGCATCATGTTGGCTAAAGTTTCTAAAGATCATGTTAAAGGAATGTACTGTAATGGTAACAAACATCTAGAATGCAGTAACAGAAACACTGCCAGCTTGTAAAGCAAAATGGATTTTTTATGGCATAAACAGGTGCCCTTGACATGTCCCTACTCCAGTTAGCTTAAACTAGTCCACGCAGTTGAATAAAATCTTAAATTCTCCTTTTTAATTACAACTGAAAACACAGTCCTGATGGAAACATTTATTGTATGTTTATATCACTGAAACAATGGAAGAAACTCAGGATGTATTTTTAGAGACATGAAAGTCTAAGAGGGAAGTTTTTAAATACCATGATTTCATGGTTAAATAGGAGTAAGCATTGGTACAGAGTGCATTTTCAAATCACTGTTAAATAAGTACTAAAAACCAATAACACAATAAAACACCTCATTTAAATTTTATTCATAGGGTTACTTTCTCGCAGCAGTTTCAGTTCATAGAGATACTCTTTAATCATCCAACATTTATATTATATCATATTATATTATATAACATACCTCAAAGTAAGCTTTTGTTTTTGCAGAACTCTGCGCTTTTACATGCCATGCCTTTAAGATAATTCTGAGCAACTTAACATTAAAGACCCATTGTATTTTCCTGGCTGCCACTGGAGAAAAAAACAGTTGCTTATAAAAATTATGAAAGCAAAGAACTTACAAATAAATGAATCTGTCAGTTAAATACATTATCAAATGGTTGTCTATAGAATTTCATTTCTACAGATTCAACTATATATTTCTTATAATTTAAATCAATTGTATCATTCTCACTGTGGTATTGGATCATTTAAAATATTCAATAAGATTCCAAGTTAACAGTCAAAACACAACTAAAATACTTTTCTTTACCATAACTATGCAGAAGACTTGATTAATCTACAAATTAGATTTACTAAAATCAGTAAATTACCAACCTTGAAGCAGAAAGTTTGAAAAACTGTTAAAGTGAAAGAAAAGAAACTCCTGGCTCCATGAAACAGAACAAAACATAACTCACTCACTCAAATGTAATGATTCCCATGCAGACTGAAAAGAAGGGGAGGTTTGGTGGAGAGGGGGGAAGGTGGGAAATCAGTTCTTAAAAGTATTTTTTTAATGTAGGCTTTAATTTAATTCCTATTAACAGAGTTTTTCTTTTCCTATATATATATATTATGTATGTGTGTGTGTACATACATATACACATGCCACAGTTCCTGGTCCAGGATACCTGATCTTAACTTTACCTTAAAAAGGCAAGTTTTATTAACCTGAACTAGTTTTAAAATGGAAATCGTTTGGAAAGACTTACTGAACTATGAGTTACAGGAACAGTACCCTGATAAACTCTGTCTGCGTCTCATCATGATTACACATTAATGTATTTCTTGAAAGACAGCACTTAATGTTCAACAAAGATTCCTATAACTCTTACGCTTAGTTTATACACAGCTTGTTATCTCACCATTTACTATATATTTTGCAATGGATTTCAAAGCATTGTTACACTTACATTCCAGAAAGCACCATACAAACATACAACAACCAACTTCTAATCTTTGGTTTATATCACTAATGACTAACGTTTTACTTTAGCTAGGAGCAAAACTGGGCATTTCATTCCCAAACCTAAATACTCTTAGTCACGTAAGTCAAGTCGACACACTGAAATCAATAGATAAAGCATATTCACACTAGAAAAGGTTACAGTTGTAAATTTTTGTACTTTAGGTATATTCTAAAACATGATTCAGCTGAATTTTCATCAACATATTTACACACACAAACTAAAAACTGTGTTAAAAGCAACAGATGGAACAATTTAAGACCCTTAAAAATTGTTTAACTGATCTTAGGCCCAAAAGACTTTTTTTAAATGTTTATCAAAATTCAATGACTTTTTAAAAGTCACAAAGATAGAAATTAGCTGATTATAAATTAAACAAACTTTGCAATCAGATTTTTGATGTCACTCTTTAAATGCAGTTTTTCTATTGTTCCCACTAAATCTTGGAATTATATCCCTAAGAAACAGCAAGCTCATGCCTCTTCCATTAAACTTAGAAATCTAAGAAAAAATATTTTACACAAAAAACCCTCTCTACTGTGAAATATGCAACACCAAATTCAGTCCATTGAAAATATTACTTGAATATTTAAAATAATATGGAACCCAGTGAGTATTGTTAAGATACTACTGAGTTTCATGCATGAAAGAATTAAAAACTGTATAGCTTCTCAGTTACCCAAATATTACGTTTTTACTGTACGCAAGTCCTATTTCTGTTTATGCAAAGCAGCCTGTAAGACTTACATGCCATTTGTTCCCTGTGAAACCGAACCCAGCCACTCCATTTCTGTACAATTACTTTTATTATTCTGGAGTTATAGTGAACTGCTGCAAGAGCCATGTTCTGCTCTGCATCTCTTTTAGCTTCTTTTTTCAAAAGACAATACTGCATCCATGCTCTGCAATTTTAAGACAGTAAATAATGAATGTAGTTCCTGACCTGAATGAAATAAAAAACCTAAAACTGCAACTTGACACGAAGGATACAGAAGTCAAGTTCATTAAAATAAACTGATATTATTTTTCTCCAAACAGTCAAAAGCTGGTATTTTAAAAAAATATTTCCTCCTGTTCATATATTTTTTAATAATACTTTCTCTTAATTTGATAATAATACAGTTCATAAAATTCCTGACTGGTTCCATTCATTACATATTTCAATTAATACATTATTATTACTGCCCTGGTCCAATAAATGTTTTACATTCAAGAAAGACAGAAGAGCATTTGCTTAGTTGAATCAGGTATGGAAGTCCCAGTGAAAACAATGGAACTTAAAACACATGCTTAAAATTAAGCAAGTGATTTCCTTAATAGTTCTGTATTTAAAAACTTGCTTAAGTGCTTTCCGAACTGTGATCTACCGATGTTATTTATGTTTCTCCAGGAATATAAATCAAAACCAAAATAAAAAAACATAAACCAACATGTATAACTGAATCATTTTACCCTTCAGTAAAAACACTGTTCTTGCTCTACTTTATATGACAGAAATAGTCAGAGCCGGTAGAGATATATAGTCTAAATGAACCATATCTTGTTTATTTAATGCACAACAGTATCTATCTTTGTCTGAGCTGTATGAAAGATAACCATAAAAATGGCTCTACAACATTTCTTTGCCAAGGTATTTCTTATTTGGAAACAAAATACATTTTAACTGAACATATTGTGCATACTAAAAATGTCTCAGTCTGGCCTTCTGGTCTTTTATCATCTCAATCCAACTCATACTATAAATAAAGAGAACAATTAATTCCAAACTAAAGGAGGAGTTTTATGATTTATTACCAAGATTTTAAACCACTTTGATTAGCATACCAAAATAACAAACAGCTATAGCTGTAGCTATTGCTATACACCCCACAAAAGGGGATGGCTTCTGTGAAACTAACTTTATCTCCCATGAAAGTTAATGACAATGAAAAAGTATTTGATTTTTACAACTCATGGCCATACTAAAGAAATTACTAAGTATTTTTATGAATGATTCAAATATCCAAATACCTTATTATCAGGGATCTGGGTTTTCTGTTCACCATGGAAAAATGTAGTAAACCCAAGTTTTCCCCTTTTTAAGGAGAAAAATGTGTGAAATGGCAGATTCCCCTTGTGTGAAATGGCAGAGTTCCAGCCTGCAATGGGTTGGGAGGAGTGGGAGGGGGGTGGTCAGGCAGAGGGTGTCATGTGCATGGTACATGTACACATGCACATGGCTCTCAGGCAGCCTGGAGAGCAGCTCCCCGCAGGTAAGTCAGGTGTGCTAAAAGTTAATTTGCCTTTATATACTCTTAATATTGCCTGTATTGATTTGTCAACTATTATTTTGTAACCAATTATAATAAAGGATATTATATTTCTATCCTTCTAGTCTGTAACCAATATCCATTTTAGTTTGCTCAAATAACTGTAACAGCCAAAGATTACAACAATGTTCAAGATCAGCCATTAAGAATTACAAAATACAAGACCATGTTTTCTTCCAATGGCTGAAGAAATTGCTGACAGCAGATGGAAGAAATTGCAGACCACAACACCAGAAGAGTCTGTCAATCATAACATCACAACAGAAGAGGAGGATCATTTTGACATTGAGGGGAAGTGACACAGCAAGACCCATAGGCTTGTATGGGGAACAATCACTATAAAGATGGACAAGAACAAAGAGGCTTTGGGTCTGTCCTGCACAGAGGAAGCAGCAATATCAGTAAGCATCCAACAAGACCTGCCTTCAATCCTCATGGTTAATTTGGCTGGCCACCAAGCTAATCCAAGTATCTTAAGGACTGGTAGTATCTTGATATTTACAGGACTGTCTGTTTGTCTCCTTGTGTATGTATGTGAATAAATGGGTATGTGTGTGACAGTGTATAAGTATGTATGTGTGAGTGTATGAAATAGGAAACACCACCTTTCTTTTGTTCTTTCTTTTATTTTGTTTGTCTTATGTTTTCAATAAATGCAGCATTGTGCCTTGTCCCCTGATAAGATTCCTGCTTGTTTTTAATTCACACTGTACGCTCTGTGAGTACAACATAGGGGGGTGGGACAAGGGCAACGCGTAGGCGATACACGGGGGTGCACATGCACCCCCTGAGAGCGCCGGTGCACCCTGTGTAGCTGGCGGGCAGGGGGGTAGGCGGGAGCACCAATGCCTGCCATGTGGGTGCTGGCTGGGGAGCAGGGCCGCCAGTAAAAGTGACCACACTGCTTCCGGAAGCAGCACAGCCACTTTTATTCTGACTGAGATTGGTCCCCCCTGGCCAGCAGGATTGGCCGCCAGGGGACTCCTCTCCCTGGTCAACAGGATTGGCCACCAGGGGACCTCCCCCCAAGTCACTGACTGGTGTCAGGGGGGCACATGCTACCCCGACTCAAGAGGTACCAGACACCCATGGGGTGGGAATTGAGGGAGGGAGGGACCTGGGCAGAGCTGGAGCTGCTGCCCAGTCGGTGTGGTGCATGGGGTTTGGGGTCTGGAGCCATACGCGGCTGTAGGGCCTGGGCAGGGAGTGGGATAGAGCTGCAAGTGGTTTGTCCAGGGTGGAGGTGGCAGGGGGTTGGCTCCCTGCTGCTGGGTACACTCCCAGAGGGGTCATGGAGGGCACATGCCCCCCGGATTTGTGCACAGGGTGAGTGTGGGCTGCCCACTGAAGACTCAAGTTCCCCAACAGCAGCATGAACTTCCCCACTCCACTGTGCCCTGCTGAGCTGGGTTTTACCTATGGGCTGTGGAGGCCCCAAGGGGAGGGAAGCAGGGCAGGGTGGGGTGGGGAGTCCCGTGCCGCTGCTGGGATCAATGTGCCACCATGTTGAGATGCCCTGTACCCATCTGGCAGCAGCAGGGGTGGCAGCATGGAGTTGTGCCCCCTTGCTGCTGCCAGGCGGGCAAGGTGCACCTCATCATGGAAGCACAGGGCTCCCAGCAGTGACACAAGCCTCCCCACCCAATTTTGCCCTGTTAAGCCAGGTCCTGCCCGCTCAGCCACAGAGGCTCCATGGGGAGGGCAGCAGGGCAGGGAACCCAAATCCACAGTGGGCAGCCTGCACCTGCCCCCCCCCCCCACCC